GTCTTTACCAGAGAACGTAATTGTTTCGTTTAGGCACTAGTTGAAAAATAATCAATCATGTAGGCAATGCTTTTCACCGAGAGAATATCATCAGTAGATGCTGCGAATAATAATATTTAGGATTTATTTTGTTGACTTTCTATATTTATTTAATTGTATCGTCAATTAAAATCTGGTTTTCGATAAAGTTCAAATACGTCATGGTTTTATTGAAATTTTTTTGATTGAGTTAAATTTACTTAAACTTTTTCAAACTCTGTCAGTTTCATTTAGTATACAGACCTGTGATAAACGTTTTTCCGCTTTCTTGTTTTCAGAATTAAACGTTGTTTGTGTGGTTAACGTTGCTGGTTTTAAAACCTAACACTGGTAGTAGTTGTTCATGCCTTTTAAGCTTGTTTGTTTATGATCATTGTTCCCGCCTTTATGTTTCTATATAGTGAATTCTATAAGGGTATGTACGCTTTACAATTCATTGTTTTATTCCCATAGTTCTTTTAGAATCATCAGATAATGAATAAAGTTTTGTTGCAGATTTAACTTGTGTTATGTGATGTTGATTGTAATGGTGAAACATATGGTTGTTAAATTTGTTTATATTTCGTTCAAACTAACATCACAAACTATTCAGATGATAATTAACCAATTTTATATCCATACTAATTTTTTACCAAAAATAGCTTACTAGGTTAGAGAAGTGAGTGATTGAACCTAAGGTTGTATCAATTGACTTAGTCAAACATGAATGAAGAATACTCGATTAGTCAAATATATTATTCGTATTTAAAGGTTGACACAAATAAGGCGGTTCGAAATTTTATGAAACTACATGAAAAGTGATAACTATGTAATCGGATTGCCTAAAGTGGTGAAATAAATTTTGAAAGGTTTTGTTGGCCCACTGAGTGAGTCTAGGTTCAGTTGAAATCTGTGTGGGGATCATAACCTCGTTGGCCCATTATGTGGCTCCAGTATTTATGAACGACCGAGTATGCTATGTAACAAATCTCTCCATCAGTTTCCGTCAAGTATATTTGGGCGAACACCGTTCGTGTTACAGAGGAAACAGGAAGCCAAATACGGATTCGGTTAAAAGAGTTTCTTTCAGACAATTCTTCATGCAGACATGATATGATAATGAAATGCGCACAAATAAGGCAAGGTGGAGAAGGCCAGTGAGATAACTCATTCCGATGAAACATGACTAAGGATTTATAGTGAGACAGAGTAAGTCAGACATGTGATAAGCGAATAGGATGAATATGCGCGTAGGCGGTAAGCAATGTTCAGTCGTACCAGCTCACACAAACCAGACAATAATAAAAGCCAATGGTACTTATAAGTTGTTGCTATACAAATGACTTGGTTAAATAAGTTGATCAAAACACTTGACAAAAGTGAAAATGAGCGAACTCAAATGTTGTATGTGGAGGCACTACAGTTTCTTTCATCTTTATGCTTTTATGCACAAATGTTTGGAGGAGCTTAACACTGATATCGAGAACAGACTGGTTTGTAGTTGTTGAATGTCTTAAAAAAAAACAATTCAATTCATATAATTTTGATCGTGATCCGGCTAGAGAGTCTTATAAACTTATTGTATCAAAGATTTTCCCTAGACAACTAACTCATTAACTCTCAATTAGGTGTTGTTGATGTTTCAGCAATTTCAGTTTTCCTCATCATGAATGAATAAATGAGAATAATTCAACTTCCTGACTGATAATAATACATCAAAGATTAAGATTCAGTTAATATAAATTCAAATAACTAGATTAAATAAAAATAGGTAAGCACATTATCACAGAGATGAATTCGACGATCATTAAAATATCATTTCGATCAAAAAAACACTTGATAAATCTTTAGAATAGCTGATTTGACTCAAAACGTCAACTAGAATCTCTTATTCCGGTGTCGTAAAATATTTTTATGCTGATAAATGTGATGTTATTCGTTTGTAGTAACTCACTGGAGCATAAGGGTAACTAACATATCTCAATCGATTCCATATGGATGTATGTGCTTACAAGAGGCAGCTGAAGTTGATATGATGATATTAGCCAAACCCTATAAGAAACAGAAAATGTTTATGAAATGAGAGCATGTGATTACAGAACAACTAGTTTGTAAGTATAGGCAGACAGACAGACAGACAGATACAACGCAGAACTTCGTACGTATGCACATCAGTTCAGGTTGTCATATCGCATTAGCACAGAGACGCAACTGTCTCTATCCATATTAGAAAATAAAGCGGCTTCCATTATACGATCACGTTGACTAGGGATCGACGGCCGCGTCATAAAACGTTGCAGATAATGCGTCCAATAGGAAACAACATTGAAGTCTGTGACATTGACAGTTATGATGACCAATTGGAAACAACATTCGAAGTATGTGACATTGATAGTTAGGACAACCAATAGGAACTTACCAACAGAATAAGACTTACAAACAATTATCTTAGCATATTGGATGAATGAATATCCTAACAATTTTAAGATTTCGAAAGATATTTTGCAAGTGTGAATAGCTTACACCATCAAATAAAGACAAAACATATTTTCAATGAGGCTGTTAGTGATTTAACTTTTTACTTGCTTACTTGCTCCTGGTTCGCCTGTTGTAACAGTTGCTTGCGATATTTCCCGGCTAAATATTATAGCTTAGTATTCTTGACACAAAACACTGGACAGGTAACCCAAATCAGAACACGGTTGAACAGGAAGGATTGTATTCCAAAATAGCAAGGAAAAGAAGCCGGAGGTGATGGCGAAAGCCACGGCAAAGAAAGCAAGAAGGCTTGAAGGCATGAATGAATATCCAATCAATTTGTTACGGTCACCTCATTGTCTCTGTAGATATAAATACATAGATTTTTCAGTCTTAGTGGTTTCATCCGGAAATTCAATTAAATTTTACATTGCTTTCTCGTCATGTGTGTAGTTTTACAAAGTAATATGCCGGAAGAGATGAAATCATTTGCAGTTTGGCTAGTTCGAGGAGCGTTCGCAGATTATCCTAACATTGAAGAGAGAACAAAACATATTGAGGATAAATTCACTAAAAAGACACGTGAACAGAGTGTCGATCCCAGCTATTACAGATGTGTCATCCCGAAAAAATCATCCGAGTATATACAACATTATTTGACTGATTGATTGATTTTTAATGTGATTTGTGAATGTATTGTTTGTTGTCTGTAAGCTGTGTTTGGATATCGATCTAATATGAATGATGTGGTAATTGTTGGTTGTCTTCTCTGGCATTTGTTGTTGAGTGTGCGATGGAGCAGCCAGGTTATCTGAGAAGTCCAACTGCGTCCCTAACTGTCCATTGAATATCGTGATGTGATTTGTAAATGTATTGTTTGTTGTCTGTAAGTCGTGTTTGGATATCGATCTAATATGAATGATGTGGTGATCATTTTATTTCATTGATTCTACACGCTATTTTACTCATTAGTTCATTTGGAAACTATATCAGGAAGCCACTGGGAATCAGACACATAACAACAATACTTGTTGTAAAGCAGATTGTAATAATATTAATAATAATAATATCAATAATACTGATTGATTATTACCGAAGTATAATAATGTTATCAATGAATGAGCAAATATACACATTGATTGTTATTCGTATATATTCATTCATTTATTCACGTTGAGCTCATACAAAATCGATATTTCTTCCATTCTGTTTTTTTCTAATTTCAGTTTGTACAAATATCTATTGGAATTGAAACCAGTGGAAAATCATTTAATGATAACCATGATGTTGGAAGATCGTGTTGTGTTTGTGGGAGATGTAAGAATCGTTTTACCCTCCGAATGAACCGTAATTTTTCACATGATTATACTTGTAATTTAAACAGAATAAAACTACATTTGTGTGTTTGTTGCATTCAATAGAATTTTGTTCAACAAACAAGCGAAATGTGAAAATTCACAATAAGTTTTCTGCGTCATCTGAAATAGTTATGAGTAAGTAGGAGAGAGGTAGTTGAGTGTACTGATCGCTTCACTGTTCGTTGACAGCTCGTCAGCGTTGACGATTCAGTGTGTGACAAAATCTCAGCATGGATTCATGAATCTCAATAGGGATTTTGCGAATTCACAAATGATGTGTGCGGAATATCCGTGTACTATCGAAACGAAACGACGAGTTTATTGAGCAGCTGTCCGTTCCGTCTTCATTTACATGTTTGAAAGATGACCAGTAAGAGAATATTTGTAGGTTGATGTTATTTAATCATAGGTGTCTTGTAATCATTGCTGGTGCATTCTGAGAGAAATGAGTAAGCAGGAAATAGTTGACTTGAGCAAATGGTTCTAGTTAAGGAAGGAGAATCATTCGTTGAAATAGTGATTGTTGATAAGTTGAGTTGGTAGGAACTTGTGTGATGTGTGGCTAATCAACCACCGATATCGTTGGTGACTGATGTTGTCTGAAGTAGTGGATCGACTAGAAGAAATCGAGGGCGTGCAAATCACAGGCAAATGGAATGATCAATGCTTGTTTGTAAAGATTACCCATTCGCTGTTTGTGGTACCATCGTCATTTGTGAAGTCACTGTGAATGGAACGATCCATGTTGGATTATGCGATACGATCGGAACTGGTGATGATGGACTTGAATCGACATGGCTGAAAATCATTTGCGATTGCGCAGGTCGATGCATGCATTGTTTGTTTTCACTGAAATTAGAATCTTCTGATTTCGTCATGAACTTGATCGTTGTTTTTCTAGAATTATTTTCTCGTGAGATAGACTTTTACAATCATCTGTCGGATTTCTACGTTTCTTCATCTTCGCTGAAACTGCTATTACCTCTAACATTGTCGAATTGGAACTGACGATTCCATCACTCTGTCCTAATATTGTATGATAAATTTACAAAGTGAGTTATTAGTTCTTCAATAAAAGGATTCCATTCGAATTTGTTATGAAACTGCATCTAAATTTTTATAGAAAATTGTGCAAATAAACTTATGAAGACTTTATAGATATTTCGAAATATATTTTCGATGCAGTGTAACACTGTGTTACTCTAATATGAGCCAATGCTAAACCTTTGAATTTTCATTCAGTTGTTATTATCATCCATCCGAAACTTGTTTCGTATGTTGATGAAGAGAACTGCTTTCATTGTTACTTTGTAGTAATTTTTGTAACTGAACTCCCATCTCTCTAATTCAGAGAGGAAACCTATTTATCTCCTCAGTCTATTTCATTTGATCGTGATTTGATTATCAACTGAATGCGCTTCATTGATCATATTTCATCCTAGTCACTACGTAGTCACATATTCTGAGTTGTTTGTGCCTTCCCGCTATCATTGAACCTCAATCCCTATTCAGCATAGAAAATATTTTAACAGAATGTTGACTTCAAATCTCAGCACTGATTTACATCTTAATTGTAGTATACTGTAGTGTGTTCAGAATAACTGACAATCAAATTTATGCAAATAATAACTGGCTGTTTATCTTACTTTTCCTTGTTGTTTCATTGACAGTGTTTTTTATTTTTAGATATTTCGTAGTAAACAAAATTTTTGTTTGTGTAGTTCAGTTTCCACATTACTTATGCACATATCGCTACTTTTTACATGGTCATCTCTATACACGTTTGGATTTCTTCTAATAAGTATTTTTTGTTTCTAGTGATGTTTGCGTCCTATGTTTTATATGAAGGTAACATATTCAAGACAGTTCAACTGTATGGAGCGGAAACATGGAGAACTACCAAAGCCATCATCCAGAAGATACAAGTGTTTATTAACAGCTGTCTACGCAAAATACTTCGTATTCGTTGGCCAGACACCGTCAGCGACAACGTACTGTGGGAGAAAACAAACCAGATTCTAGTGGAGAAGGAAATCAGGAAGAAGCGGTGGAAGTGGATAGGACACATACTACGAAAATCACCTAACGGCGTCACGAGACAAGCCCTCACATGGAACCCTCAAGGCAAATGAAAAGAGGAAGGCCAAGAAACACACCACGCCGAGAAATAGAGAAGGATATGAGAAGAATGAACAAACATTGGACAGAATTGGAGAGGGAAGCCCAGGACAGAGTTGGTTGGAGAAAACTGGTGAGCGGCCTATGCTCCATTGGGGATAACAGCCGTAAGTAAGTAAGTAAGTAACATGTTCAGTAATCTGGAGTATCAAACACAGTTCACTCTCTAATACTGACTTCAAATCAAGCCAAATAGTTTCGAACATTGTGGAATACATAAGACAAACCTCATTTAAAAACGTCAATTATATTGAACAATGACCGATTGAACAGTTGTTGAGTTCAATGGAAGTGTAGTGTCATTGTTGTTTGGTTGTTTTTAGGTTGGAAGCTTGAACGGCCAAAATCTCCATGTGTTCATTTTATAACATGAGAAGTGTAAGTCGGAAGGGAAAATCAAGAAATTCTTGATCTGATGAATATCGGTTATTGTGTTGTCATTTGTCATCAGTTTAGTAATTTTTCATGACTGACATGTTTGAGCACCTATTAGAAATCTTTTCATTCCGTGATTTGACCATTATACATCCGTTATCATATTCATTTTCTATACTGCATGAATATACTACTGATTTTACACATAGTTACACACAATGCTTGTTGGATGAATGCTACAGATGGCATTTTGAAATTCAGATAGTTTGTAGTGTCAGATAATGATCATTGAATAATGAACGGTTTATTTAATGAGTACGATATCATTGCCTAATCTCAATCACAACTACTCACTAGCACTGAGGAAATGATTTCTCAAAAACAAGCAAATTAATAGTGTGGTGCGAGCTACTTATAAGTAGTATATGACGTGAGTGTCAACGTAATGTCTGGCAGCAGAAGATGAGGGAAGATCAAGAAAATGAGAGTTAGAAAACAATGGAATTTGTATGAAACGAACGCATGAATAGTGACAGTGGATTGATGTTTTGCAACAGGAACAGTCCAGTTCGATATAATGAACTGATATTTTGCAAATTAACGATTTACGATATGGTTTTCCTATTTTACTGAGTAACTCTGTAATTTTCGTTAAATACAATTCGCTTGCCCAACCTGTGTTCTTCGTTCCTTACACTAGTAGTAAGTTTGTTTCTCTCTCACATTCCTGATTGCTTGTCTCCGCTCTTGTTGGCATTGCACATGGTTTTATTTCTGTCACGTTATTCAGTTCTCTAAAGTCAACACAGAATCTATACTTTCCATTTGGCTTCTTTACCGAAAGTACCGGTGAGCTGTACGGGCTATCTGCTTCTTCAATTATACCTGCTTTTAACATCTCCTGTACCTGCTGGTTTATCTCAGCTTCCAAATGTACGGGGACCCGTCGTGTTGTGAAGATGGTTACTTCTTCGTTCTTTGTCGGAATTTCATGTTTGACTTTATTACAAAACCCGTACGGTTCTCCGTCTCCCGTGAACAACTTCTTATATTTCGTGAGCACCTCGTTAATGTTCTGTTTCTTTCCAATGTCCTCTTTTGCTACTCTAACCTCAGCCACCTCGCTGCTTTCATGTATTGTCAGTGTGCCGTACTTTGTAATCACCTTCTTACTTCTTGTTTCAATAATTGCTCCTACTTCTCTCAAGAAATCTGCTCCTAGTATTGGTTTCGACAAGTTCGTAGTCACTACAAAGGGAAACTGTATTTTCGAACTGCCGATTTTCACGATATCCTCCGCAAATGTAGCATTTATTATTTCTTTCACCCTTTATTCGTAACGCTGCCACCTCTCGTTGTAATTCTTCTATCTTCTTCACGACATCATCAGCCTGTCTCTCACACGCCACCGAGGCGACTGTTGAGTTCATCAGTTGTCTTGTTACTTTCGCCAGCTCGGTGACGTCCATTGGTTGTGGCGCGTTCACCAGTCTCAACTGTTGGCCAATCTCTGCAGGCACACTTTCAATGAATTGCGAGGCTAGCAGCTGTGCCTGCGACTCCTCATCCAAATTCGGCAGACCCCGGCGCAGCAATCTTGTCAACTCCACGGCCAGCACGAGTGGGTCGCCGACCACCGACAGCCGCGCCTCCCGGAACTTCTGCAGCGCGTCCTACCTATCCGCCGGGCTGTCGGACTCCAACAGCAGCCTTTCCGTCACCGCCTTCCGGTCAGCGTCCTCCACACTATCGTACACCGCTCTCGCCCTGCCTCTTAGTAGAGTCCCCAGCACCACCGCATTCGCCTTCCGTTACTTGACTCCGACCAGCTCCGCCACAGCCTCGAACTCCTTCAAGAAGCTCCCTACATCTCCGTCTTCAAACTCACGAGGCCATGGTATCTTCATCCTGAGTAGAGGCAGCGACACCAATTGAGAGGACTGAGGCAGGCTCAATAGGCTGTCAATTAAAAACGATAACATTGCATTAAACACTCCATTTGCACACCATCTTTGAGTCCTGACTTCCAACGCTCCAGCCTTCTTCCATTCCTGCTGTTGCTTCCTTTACTTCCTGTCGGTGCTCTATTTCTTTCTTGCTTTTGCTCTATTTGCTTTCCGTTTTCCTCTTCTGACCGTAAGACTTCTTCTTTCACGTCCATTCTTATACTACTTATATCGTTCGTATAAGTAGCACACACCACAACAGAAATGAAGTAGCATTGAAACAGTGATAATGTTTTGTTGAGTTGGAGGTTGGAAGTAATCAAGATTCGAAGTCTGTGTTGTGTTTCGGTAGGCATTCTGTCACTAGTTTTGTGAGGTTTGATTTTCAACGTATTCTATGTCTTGGTAATTTGTTCGTATAGGCCATTGTCACCAAATAGCACCTCACGGTTATGTATGTATGTATGCAAAGCTACTGTTCATTTTGCCTCAAGTAGTACTGAATCTTGCAATTTAGATCCCAATAATT